TTCAGTTTGTCTTTCATCCTCTGACTGCTTCCTGCTTAACAATGCTCGGAATCTTCCAAAAGAACCACCAAAGTGCTTTCTTAGAATCCTGCAAAGAAATGTCTTCTTTGAAGAAAGCACTCTTTTCCAATAAGAAATGGTAAAAAAAAAAAAAAAAAAAAAAAAAAATCCAATGGTCTAGATTTTGCAATTTTTTTTTTAAGGTAAGCTAAGTCTTCAATTTCAGAAAGTCTGCTATAATACACCCAATAATTTTTTCATTGATAAAAAACAGTCCACAGCATTCATAAAACAGGATGGCAGAAGAAATAAAAAGACACTTTTCAGGGGGATTCTTTGTTTAAGAACAGATGAATAAGGTAGCAATTTAATACAGATGGAAACAAATACAATCCATATAAAAACAGAATCTGAAAGGGAATGGGAGGAAACGTATCAACCAAAGCAAATTCAGAGTGTTCACACATGCAACTCAACACCTGCATTTTCTCTGCTTAAAAACCAAACTAGGTACTTTAAATGTTCATAAAGAAGACCATAAATGCACTGAAAAAATGTTAGCCTTACATATACCACCAAAAAAAAAAAAAAAAAGAAGAGAAAAAAAGAAATTAATAATCCCCAACTACAACTAGGCTAATCATGGGTTTTCCCTTATAGAAACTAACGCAGAAAAAGTAACTTTTTACAAGGTTAGCTTTAAGGTACAACACCTTAGAGCTCTCAACTGGGGTGTTTCCTGCTCATGCTCTTTTCACTATAATAAACAAATGTTTTTTATGCAGTGGAATAATACTTGAAAAATTCTTTGGAAAAGAATCACAAGTTTCATTTTATATATACAACAAATTTTTAATTATGTACTGAAAATAAATTACAGGAAATAATTTTAAAATGCAACAGAGGACAAAGTCACAATAAACATTCCCATTGAATTCCCTTGGAAGGGGGGGTGAGATTGCAGTGCTCAAGATAAATATCACAAATATATCAAAAACTTCAAATTGTCTATGCATTCACACACTGACATGAGCCACAAACATTCCTTTCACAGGGACTGCACTTATTTAGCCTACCACAGGACCAGATTTTGCCATAAACTACAAAACTTTTAATACAAAATTGTATTTATATATTTATAATTCATATACATGCCCTATCTGTGATTTTAGAAAATAAAAGCTACACACTGTACAGACACTCTTAACTCATAGCTGTAGGCAACATTTTTGGATGGAGTTTCTCCCCCAATAAAATTAACGGCATATTTTATGTACATGAAGGCTAAACTGCAAAAAGACAGTTCAGTTTCCCAGATATGCATCTCCTTTTAGGGCAGGTTTATAAATTTAAAAAGGCAAGACAAATGTACACCTCAGAATTACTTTCTTAGCTACAAGAGTTGCCATGTAATTTCTGTGAAGTTTCTGATACATGCATTTATGTAATACTGGTACTGAAGGCAGTAAAGCAATATATACTTTTAATGTAGTGGCTCAATAAAGGCTTCATTGTCATTCCAATCTGGTTCTTGAAACAGTGATTCATAAATTCTCTAAAAATTAAAATTTCAATGGGACACCGTGTTAAAGAGACTCTAAATAGATTTCTTAAAATATTTCCCTGAAATATCCTTTTACATAAGACAAATTTCACTAACATTAGATTAAGTAAAAAGAAAGAAAAGAATTAAACATGGCACAAGTGTGCATGATTAACCAATGCTCCTCAGCCAATCTGCATGTCTTAGGAGCCATTAAAAGAATGCTTAAAACTAACAAACAATTTTCACACTCTGTGGCAGCCATCTGTGAAGCCAGTTACACTAAACTACTTCTACAGTTGATTGTAAACTTTGGTTTATTTTTATTTGAGTTCTCATTGTACAGCAAGCATGAAAAAAAAGAGAGTGGAGTCCGTGAGAAGATGAACTGTCAGTCTGTCTTTAATCTGGCATGATGAGACACCTGGTCAGTCAGGCCTGCTTTGATAGAGTTTGTTACAGACTGCCTTATGTTTTCCTCCATCAAATTATCACCCAGGGGCTTCAATACCTGTGGTATGAGAAATGTGCAAAACAAACAAAAACATGAGGTAAAAAAAGAGTTACATATAAAAATAGATATAAAAATTCAATTCAAAGCAATGATGAAAATAACCAGGAATATGGGAAATAAAAAGATGCTTCTCTCAAAAAAAGTTATGATGCTACTAGACATTATATAATGCAACAAAAATTACTTTCCTCTTATTCAAACCATTTACAATTCCTATGAGATGGATGTGCAATTCCATACCCTATATGCAGCATCAAATCTGGTATGTATACAGCATTTATGCAGACCGGCCCAGACGGTCCTGCTTATTGTCCTACATGTATAAGTGTGAACACTTCAGATAGAGAAAAAGGTTAAAAATACTGTCTAATTTTTCTTCTTGTTATTGTTGGATGACAGTCTCTGTCGCTGTGCTGATGAAAGAGCACGATGAACCATTCGACGTCTAGTAACTTCAAACAGTTTGGAAAACACCTAAAACATGAAGTGATTTGTTAGGAGAATGACTCAGAGTGCCTCGAAGCTAAAGAGTTTAAGACTACAAGAATTTGAGACTGTGGGTTTCTCACCTTCCTGGGACTCCTCTGAAGCAAAAGAAAAGAGAAATGCAAAGAAATTTAGACAAGGTTTGTTGATAGAGCAAAGATCTCTGACTAGCTCATCACCTTACCTCAACTATACCGAAAATGATTTTATACACTTTAGATTCTTCCATTTAATCGTTTTGTAATAATGGTACCTCTAAAATCCTAGAATCAATGCTGTATAAGAGATGAGTATTTCTCAAAAGAAGATATTGTTACAATTATTGAAAATTATGTTGCAGAAAATAATGATCCAAAATTTTAAAGTAGCTCATTTTTTCTTAAAAGTGACATCGCGGCAGCTTTGCATCCATCTTCTATTCAAAGAAACATGAAGTAGTGAGATTGAGATAAAAATTTAAATAAATATCCAAACATAAACTTCCCAATCAGATCTGAATAGAGCATTTCTCTAAAGAGTAAATACAAAATCCAAGTTAATATAGTGGGTCACTTTATAAATAACATTATTATAAGAAAAGTCAACATCCAATCAACTTTCTTCCAAAAAAAAAAATTGTCTGCTTCTCCAGTCTTCGAATTTACAGCCAAAACAAACATGGACCTGCATATCCTAGATCATCAAATAAGCTTAATATTTCATGAGCCCAGAAATGACATCTAAACTGCCTATTATAGTGTTCATGTTAAGTACATTAATAACTGCAGCTTTTATTCTGGTCCTTGACATGATGTTCAAGTATTTCACGAAGATCATTTTAATGACATCCATAAGTGGAATTTTCTGTCCACAGGTATTTCCAGCACACAGGAGGCAGATAAATATACAAAATGGCTTTCCTTAGTAGGTACTTGCCGGGCAAGAGTTCACAGCCTGGACTTCAATTCTGGTTTAAGGTAAAAGATTATGATGGAACATGGTTCTCTGCTCATGGCACTTTGCTTTACTAATTAGTATTTCCATAATACAAAGGTCAAAGTTTCCACGGTAAGAAATCCCTACAGGATTGTTCCTCATAGTACATCAGGAAATCCCTACTATCTTCATGGAAGGCAGTGAAGATCTGTCTGCCATCCGGTACTTCTCCTGCATTGCTTGCCAGTATTAGGAAGAAACTTCTTCTGCTTTCCAAAAGCACCACTTCCAAACTTCTTTTCCTTACCTTCAAAATCATTTGATGATTAGATTTTCTTTCCTCAAGGAAAAAATTCATTACAGACTCTGGCCCTGCCCACCATCTGGTATAATCAGGCCTACAACTAAGAATCTATCCAGAGGACAGTACAGATTTAGGCTAACCAAAGTACATTAAAATTATAACTTTAAAGAAAAAAATCTTCAATTCATAAAGATTCTACATCCAAACAAAACAGAAAACATCCTTTTGACATTCCTCATATAAAGGAAAAGTAGGAATACAAATTCTGCAAAGGGAGAAAAATCACAGGAAAATGAGATTAGTCACTGAAAAACCAAAAGATAGATACCAACCTGTTCCCAGAGTGTTTCAGCAATCTGATCAATCATTGTTCCAATTTCTCTGAACTCCCCAGAGTATTTAACATATGCCCAAGTACAAAGAAATGTCAGTGCTAACCCCATGACAAGGTTACACAAGACGGCTATAGAGTTTAGGCCAATGAAGCCAGTCAGTCCTGAGATTATATACATAGCAAACATGACCGCAAACAGTGTGGCTGGGGTACGAGCAGCATAGAAGATATTTTTGCCATCATTGTGCTTTATAAAATTTGCATAAGTTTCTTCAATTTCAGCTTCAAGCTGGTCTTGATAACGACGGCAGAACTCATCTCCACCCATCTTTTTTACAGAACGAAATTGTTTTATCGCCACTTCCTTGAAATCCAAGTGTTTTCGCTCCAGATCTGAAGGTGCAATGTAAGGCTTGTCCCCTCCACATACCTGGACAGACAGAATGATAGTATTACATGCTAAAAATAATTAATACTTGAAAGAAGTTCCTGTTCATAGTTTTTAGTCTCAGAGAGTCAAACCACTTTCATGATTCAGTTTTAAACTCACTTATAATACCTCACAGGTTATCATAATCTAGTTATTTCTTCTATGTAGAACCTGCTCTAGCAAAATAATTTTCCAAATGTGACTAACTGAAACGGAAGACAAAAAAATTTTACATTGCGCTCTGTACCTGCCTTCACTTGACCACCCGTACATCATAATAGTATACAAGATTGCTGGCAAGAGAGTGGGTAAAAGATAATGCCCCAAAAAGATATTTTAATGTTTGAGCAAAGCAAGAACAGAAACTGCTATTGGCCTTAAACTTATGCTACTAACATCAGAAGTCACTACTAACAGCACTTTGAATCATACATGTCACAAGATATTTTAGTACAGTTTATATAATAACTTACTGCCCAAATTCTGCTGTCTAATCATGCGAATTATTTTCTTATAGTTTATTTCCAGCAGAGATCATAAAGGGGAATTCGCTTCAATTATTTTAAACAGAAAAATCTTCTCACTCCAGTATCAAATTTAAATTTTAGTTACAAACCTGTTCCATACTTTTACAATAGATATCTCTTGCTCCTGCTACTGCAGCAAGGTTATTAGCTTCAGCTGTTGCCTAAAAAATAAAATTACATGTACCATTATTATTTAAAAAAAACCCTATGACTAAAAATTCTGATAAACACATTAAGTTATGTACAATAAACAAGTCTGAAAACGAATCAGAGAAAGTAACTTCCAGTTTTTCTTTCCTAACAAAGGGAACATTGGTATAAAGTATACAATGGTAAGTGGTTCTAATAGGACTACCTGCCTAATTTTGTTTTGCTTAGGTTGATATTAAAGTGGGTCTGTAGAAAACACCACATATGCTTAGGAAATGGATAAAGATAAATAGATATAACACTAAAATATGTGGATCTCCAGGTATTAGGAATCGAGAATTACCCATATGGTTCTCTCTCTCATAATCAGTATTATACAAGACATTTTCAAACCCACAAAACTTTCTGCATGAAGTTTTATTTAAAAAAACTGTTTTATCTACTATAAAATGGAGTAATAGCCCAAAGTAGTAAATTTTTTAAAATATGAATGCAGTAAAATGACACTGTCCATTTGAAAAAATACTGTCCATTTGAATACCATTTGAAAAAGAAAAAAAAAAAAAACTGTGACTATATTCACTAGAAGTAGCTCTAAATCATTAACACCAAATAAAAATAAGACTTATTTCCAACAACCTTCATTGTCAAAGACTCAGAATAGAAGCAGTTTAGTTCAGAGAGGCCCAAATTAAGCCTACTTATAGAACAGAAATTTTCCTATACTTTGAGCATCTGAAGAGTAGGTATTGTGGACTCTCATTTCTGGTGGCCTAGAACATGCAAGGCCTAAAATCTGCAGTTACAAAAGAAAAAAAAAATTGTGTGAAACCTTAGGACCCATGACACATATGGCCTTAAATATGCAAAACTTCTTTGCATACATAAAAGGACCCCCTCACCATTTTCAGCATTTCTCTCTAAAGCAAAGATTTTTATTCTCCCTCATAAATAAGTATATGTACAACACATATCACTCTCACATTCTCTCTACCTGAAGCATGGACTTTGGATGTGGAAGTTCCTCTCCTTGATAAATTTTGATGTAAGCCTAAAAAGGGAGAAGATGGGTTAGACTGATGGGTTATATAATTTGGCTCCACATCTCCAGAGAAAAAAACTCATTAAATATAACTCTAGGCTTTAAAAATCACCTGATTCCAACAAAGTTAACCCTATTCTCAATATTATTAACTTCTACGTTGCCAGATAATATCCTAGATATTTCTATAACAAACAAAAGTTGTAACTCACAAAGTTAGATAAATGCCATCTACTTTATGAAAAGAAATTCATAATTACCCCCTATTGCCAATGTTTTAATGTTTAAAAAAAAAATTTTTTTTATCTCTTTCTTTAGAGATGGGGTCTCACTCTGACACCAAGGCTGAAGTGCAGTGGTGCAATCAGAGCTCACTGCAACCTCGAATTCCTAGGCTCAAGTTATCCTCCTGCCTCAGTTTCCCAAGTGGCTGAAACTACAAGATGTGTGCCACCATATCCAGCGTAGGAAACAGTTTTACCCAGTATTTTACTTTGAGCAGCTTAAATTGTATTTCAGCTCAAAGAAAAAAAGAAAGCCTTAATTTCTTAATTTGTGGTTTAAGAGTAAAAAGGAAAAGATGAGAGTTTTTTAGAAATCCATATAGGAGTCTTTCATCTCAACTTTCTATTGACAAAATTCATCCATAACTGGGAAGGAGGTAGAGCAAAATGGCCAGATAGAAGCCTCCAGTGATCACTACCACCTCACAGGAACATCAAATTGAACAACTATCTACATAAAAAAGCACTTTCATAAGAACCAAAAATCAGGTGAGCAATCACATTACCTAGTTTTAACTTCAAATCACTGGAAGAGGCACTGAAGGGGATAGAAAAAATAGTCTAGAATCACCTACACCACCCCTCCCCCACCCTCACAGCAGCAACCACACAGTGTGGAGAGAGAATCTATGTGCTTGGGGAAGGGAGAGTGCAGTGGGTGTGGGATTTTTGCACTGACTCAGTGCTACCCTGCCACCGTGGAAAGGAAAACGGGGCAGAACTCAGCCAGCACCTATGGAGGGAGCATTTAGACAGCCTCGGACTACCAGCCCCGCCACCACAGGCTAAGGACTCCGCCTGATGCCTCATTCTACTTAGGACTCTCTGTAAACTATTCATATCCTGAGTAGAAAGACTAAAAGATGAACCTAGAAAAAGCATTAATTACCACAACTTTTCAAGACATAGTATACTAAGATATCAATAGAAACAGCTGCTCTGAGGTCCCAAATAAACTTGAAAGGCAGTCTAGGCCACAAGGCCTGTAATTCCTGGGCAAGTCCTGGTGCTGTGCTGGGCTGAGCCAGTGGACTTGGGGTGCACAGTAAGACACCAGCTGGGGCAGCCAAGAGAGTACTTGTGTCACTCCTCCCCCAACCCCAGGCAGTGTAGTTCATAGCTCTGAGAAAGACTCCTTCCTTCTGCTTGAAGAGGAGGAGAGGGGAGAGTAAAGAGGACTTTGTCTTGCAATTTGGATACCAGGTCAGCCACATAGAGTGAAGTATCAGACAGAGTCCTAAGGCCCCAATTCCAGTCCCCAGTTCCCAGGCAAGATTTCTAAACACACCCTGGGCCGGAAAGGAACCCACCGTCTTGAGAGGTAGGACCAAGTCGTGGCAGGATTCATCACCTGCTGACTCAAGAGTTTTTGGGCTCTGAATAAGCAGCAGTGGTAGCCAAGCAGTACTCACTATGGGTCTTGGGTGAGATTCAGAGATGTGCTGGCTTCAGGTGTGACCCAGCACATTCCCAGATGTTGTGGCTATGAGGAGAGTCTCCTTCTGCCTGAGTAAAGGAGAGGAAAAAGCAAAGGGGACTTTGTCTTGCAGCTTGGCCACAGTTAGGTGGAACACCAAGCAGGCTGGGTCCCTGATTCCAGGCCTTGGCTCCTGGATGGGATGTCTGAATCTGCCCTGGGCCAGAGGGGAGCCCACTGCCTTAAAGGAGGAGCCTCAGGCCTGGCAGTATTCACCACAGCTGACTCAAGAGCCCCTGGGCTTTGAGTGAAAATTGGCAATAGCCAGGCAGTACTCGCCATAGGCCTAGGGCAGTGGCAGCCATGCGGGGAGACTCCTCTGCCTAAGGAAAAGGGAGGGAAGAGTGGAAAGGACTTTGTCTTGCAGCCTGCGTGCCAGCTCAGCCACAGCAGATTAGAACACTAGGTACATTCCTAAGGTTCCCAACTCTAGGCCCTGGCTCCCAGAGGGCATCTCTGGAACCACCCAAGGCTAGAGGGAACTTGCTGCCCAGAAGGGAAGGCTACAAGGCTGGCTAGATTCACCACCTGCTGATTACAGAACCTTTGGGCCTAAACTGAACACAGGCAGTAGTCACGCAGTAGTCACCACTGGCCTTGGGCAAGACCCAGTGCTGTGCTGGCTTCCAGTTTGACCCAGTAAAATCCCAGGGATGGTGGCCACAACGGTGCTTGTGTCACCCCTCCCCCAGCTCCAGGCAGCTCAGCACAGAGACAGACTCCATTTGTTTGGGAGAAAGTAAGGGAAGAGAACAAGAGTCTCTGCCTGGTAATCCAGGGGATTCTCCTGGATCTTACCCAAGAGCACCAAGGCAGCACCTCTACAAATCTGCAAGAGCCACACAAGCATTATGGGCTTGAAATGTCCCTAATGCAAATACAGCCACAGTGACCAAAGATCACAACACACAAGTCCCTTCAAATACTTTGAAAGCCTTCCCAAGGATGACAGGTACAAATGAGCCCAGACTGCAAAGACTATAACAAATACCTAACTCTTCAATGTCCAGACAGCAACAAATATTCACAAGCATCAAGGTCATCCAAGAAAAAAATGACCACACCCAACAAACTAAAATAAAGCACCAGTGACCAATCCTGGAGAGACAGAGATAAGTGACCTTTCAGGCAGAGAATTCAAAATAGCAGTTTTGAGGAAACTAAAAGAAATACAAGATAACACAGAAAAGGAATTCAGAATCCTATCAGATAAAGTTAACAAAGAGACTAAAACAATCACAAAGAATCAAGCGGAAATCCTGGATCTGAAAAATGCAGCTGACATACTGAAGAATGCATCCAAGCCTCTTTTTTTTTTTTTTTTTTTTTTTTTTTGAGGCAGGGTCTTTCTTTCTCCCAGGCTGGAGTGCAATGGCACAATTCTGGCTCACTGCAACCTCTGCATCCCAGGCTCAAAACAATTTTCCTATCTCAGTATCCCAGGTAGTTGGGACTACAGGCATGCGATATCAAGCCTGGCTAATTTTTTTTTTTTTTTTTTTTTTTTTTGTAGAGACAGGGGTTTTCACCATATTGCCCAGACTGTCTCAAGTGATCTGCCCACCTCAGCCTCCCACAAAGTGCAGGGATTAAAGGCATGAGCCACCTCACCTTGCCTCAGCTTCTTAACAGAAGAACTGATCAAGCAGCAGAATTACTGAGCTTGGAGACAGGCTATTTGAAAGTACACAGCTGAGACAAAAGAAAAAAGAACGAGAAAGAATGAAGCATGCCTACAAGATCTAGAAAATAGCCTCAAAAGTGCAAATCTAAGAGTTCATAGCCTTAAAGAGGAGTAGATAGAGATAGGAGTAGAAAGTTTATACAAGCAATAACAGAGAACTACTCAAACCTAGATACTAATACTTAAGAACAAAAGATTATAGAACACCAAGCAGACGTAACCCAAATAAGACTACCTCAAGACATTTAATAATTAAACTCCCAAAGGTCAAGGGTAAAGAATGGATCCTGGCTGGGTGTGATGGTTCATGCCTGCAATCCCAGCACTGTGGGTGGTGAACGTGGGGGGACTGCTTGACCCTGGAGTTCAAGATCAGCCTGGGCAATGTAAAGAGACAACGTCTCCATTAAAACAACAGCAACAGGCCAGGCACAGTGGCTCACACCTATAATCTCAGCACTGTGGGAGGCTGAGATGGGAGGATCAATTGAGACCAGGAGTTCCAGACCAGCCTGGTCAACAGAGCAAGACCCCAATTCTATTAAACAACAACAACAAGCATGAATGGATCCTAAATGCATCAAGAGAAAAGAAACAAACAACATACAAAAGAGCGCCAATACATCTGGGAGCAGACTTCTCAGTGGAAACCTTATAGGCCAGGAGACAGTGGCATGACATAAAGTGCTGAAGAAAAAAAAAATTTTGCCTAGAATAGTACATCCAGTGAAAATACTTCAAACATGAGGGAGAAATAAAGACTTTCTCAGACAAACAAAAGCTGAGGGATTTTATAAACATTCAGACCTGTCCTACAATAAATGTTAAAGAGAGTTCTTCAATCTGAAAGAAAAAGATTTTAATGAGTAATAAGAAATAATCTGAAGGTACAAAACTCACTGGTAATAGTAAATACACAGAAAAACAGAATATTATAACACTAATTGTGGTGTGTAAATTTTCATATCCTGAATAAAAAGACTAAAAGACAAACCTATAAAAAATATTAACTACCACAACTTTTCAAGACATAGACAGTATACCAAGATATCAAGAGAAACAACGGAAGTTTAAAAGGTGAGGGGATGAAGTTAAAGTGTAGAATTTTTATTAGTTTTCTGTTTCCTTGTTTGTTATTTAGTTTGTTTATGCAATCAGTGTTATCAGTTTAAAATATATTATATTTGCAAAGCTCACGGTAACCTCAAAAGACATACAACAGATACACAAAAAATAAAAATAAATTAAAACATACCACCAGAGAAAATCACCTTCACTAAAAGGAAGACAGGAAGGTAGGAAGACTACAAAACCATCAGAAAACAAAATAGCAGAGGTTAAGTTCTTACTTTTCAGTAACATTGAGTGTAAATGAGCTAAAATCTTCAATTCAAAGATACAGAGTGGCTAAATGGATTTTAAAAAATGGTGATACATGCTCTATCTATAAAAACATGCAGAGACTGAAAATAAAGATATGGAAAAAGATGTTCCATGCAAATGGAACAACAAAAAAAAGAGCAGAAGTAGCTACATTTACATCAAAGAAGGTCATTATATAATGATAAAGGAATCAATTCAGCAAGAAGATATAACAATTGTAAATATATATGCACCCAACACTGCAGCACCCAGACTTATAAAGCAAGTATTATTAGAAACTAAAGAAAGAGTGCCAAGCATGGTGGCTCACACTGCAATCCCAGCACTTTAGGAGGCCAAAGCAGGTGGACCACTTGAGGTCAAGAGTTCAAGACCAGCCTGGCCAACATGGTAAAACCCTGTCTCTACCGAGCCAAAAAAAAAAAAAAAAAAAAAAAACACACACACACACAAAAATTAGCTAGTCATAGTTGCACACGCCTATAATCCCAGCTACTTGGGAAGCTGAGACAAGAGAATTGCTTGAACCTGGGAGACAGCGGTTGCAGTAAGTTGAGATCGTGTCACTGCACTCCAGCCTGTGTGACAGAGTGAGACTCAACTCAGCCTCAAAAAAAAAAAAAAAAAAAAAAAAAATAAATAAAAAAAAATCGAGGCTCCTCAAAAGACTAAAAATAAAACGACCATATGATCCAGCAATCCCACTGCTAGGTATAAGCCCAAAAGAAAAAAATCAGTATATAGAAGACACATCTGCACTTCCATGTGTGCTGCAGCACTATTCACTATAGCTACGATTTGGAAGCAACCTAAGTATCCATCAATGTACAAATGGATAAAGAAATGTGGTATATATATACGATGAAGTACTATGCAGCCATATAAAAGAATGAAATCCTGGTCCAGGCACAGTGGCTCATGCCTGTAATCTCAGCACTTAGGGAGGCCGAAGCAGATGGATCACAAGGTCAGGCATTCGAGCCCAGCCTGGCTAACAAAGTGCAACCCTATATCTACTAAAAATATAAAAAATTAGCCAAGCATGGTGGCAGGCGCCTCTAGTCCCAGCTACTCGAGAGGCTGAGGCAGGAGAATCACTTGAACCTGGGAGGCAGACGTTGCAGTGAGCCGAGATCACACCACTGCATTCCAGCCCAGGCAACAGGGCAAGACTCCATCTCAAAAAAAAAAAAAAAAGGAATGAAATCCTGTCACTTGCAACAACATGATGGAACTGGAGGATATTATGTTAAGTGAAATAAGCCAGGCACAGAAAAAATGAACTTCACATGTTCTCACTTATTTGTGGGAGCTAACAATTAAAACAACTGAACTCGTAAATACAGAGTACTAGAACGATGGTTACTAGAGCCTAGGAAGGGTAGTCAGACAGTGGAGGTGAGGCAGAGATGGTTAATGAGTGTAAAAATATAGTTAGACTAAGATCTAGCATTTGATAGCATAACAGGGTAATTACAGTCAATAATAACTTACTGTACATTTAAAAACAACTAAAAGAGCATAACTGGATTGTCTGTTACATAAGGAAGGGATACATCCTTGAGGTGATGGACACCCTATTTACTCTGATATTATTACACATTGTATGCTTGTATCAAAAATATCTCATGTTCCCCGTAAGTATATATACTATGTTCCCACAAAAATTAAAAATTAGAAGTAGCCAGGTAAGGTGGCTCACGCCTATAATCCCAGCACTTTGAGAGGCCGAGGTGGGTGGATCACGAGGTCAGAAGGTAAAGAATATCCTGGCTAACACGGTGAAACCCCGTCTCTATTAAAAATATAAAAAATTAGCTAGGCGTGGTGGCACGTCCCTGTAATCCCAATTACTCGGGAGGCTGAGGCAAGAGAATCGCTTGAACTCAGGAGAAGAAGGTTGCAGTGAGCCAAGATTGTGCCACTGCACTCCAAGCCTGGGCGACAGAGCAAGGCATCGTCTCAAAAAAAAAAAAATTAAAAATTAAAATAAATTTTAAAAAATTCATTCATAACTAAAGAAAGATAATATGAGAGTGACTATCAAGTATCCAATAAGTGAACAAAAATATACTCTTAGTTACAACTACAAATAAAACAACCTTCCCCAATGGTCTTGTTCTGGCAGGTATGCTATAAAGACTAGAGAAGAACAGAGGGAAAAAAAACCTATGAACACTTTACTTGAACTCAGGAACCAATATAAATACTTTCAGCTGTTCTTATCAAGTCCTCAGAACTCTGAGGGAGTGTTTTCATGAGAACTTAAGATGTAAAATTATGCTTTCCATTCTTATCATCATTTACAAATGACAGAGTAGCATTATAGCACAATGAATGGCTTGTTCTCTCCGTATCTGAGATGGAGAAAAAGTAAGATAAATTAAATCACCATCCAGGAGACAGAAATCTGCTATAATCTTTGAAATATCCTTAAATACAAATACATCTAATTCAAGGCAGAAAAAATTAATTACAAATATTACTCTTCTTTGCTTTAAAATAAAGACAAGCAATTTCTTATACATACAGATGAGTTTTAAATCAACTACGTTTCTATCTTAGACAAAGTCGTTTAATTTAAGAGCTCACCTACCTTAAAATATTCTACGAGATCTCTACAAGTGACTTTAGATCCACTTATCTCTTTTTCTACCAAATTTTCAGGGGCAAGCAGCAAAGGAACCAGATTTCGAAGCTCTCGTTTAAAGTCTTCATCAATATCTGGAGAACACAAAATTGAGCAACATATTAGTCCAAAAAAATTAAGTTCCCACTGGTAAGATTTCATAACATTCTGTTTTATGAAATAAGAATACATAGTATCTATTACTGAAGTGGATTCATTTAAAAAAAAAAAAAAAAAAAACCACCTCATCCAACATGCCATATCTCACAGGAAAAAATATAATCCCCCCACTCTACTAGCTCATTTTCCCCAACCCCCAGTAACAGTGCTGTTCAAGTAATAAATAAAACATAAATGTGTGGATTACCAAGGCAAATTTCACATTTAGTATTAATGAAAATGTCCTTTTCAAAAGAGGCAAACAATTCACAAAATTGTATTAAATTTTACTACTAGATTTTGTTTCACCAGCCATACTGTAAAAGTTTTGTCAATCCCCAGGCATTCTGCCATCACACTCAAAATAATCTCACAACATAAATAAACATACTATCACTCCTGAAACAGAGACTTATTTATATCTATCTGATTTCATCAATATAATAAAATGATAAAGCATTTTAGCAGACTGCAATCAGTTGAAAAGAAATGCTCTCAGTCTTTGGAACTTTCAGGACATCAGTGCTCAGCAACAGACATTATAAAATAGGTTAATCAATAGGCTAGACAGCTGCAAATAAATCAATAGAATGCTAGAGAAACCACAGAGCATTACAATCACAACATGAACAATGCATCCAAACATTCTCCAGTAACAGACAGGAAATTTAAGACGTCAGGTATTTTCTTTAAAAACTTTCAGCCTCTAATAAGTAAGTTCTGATTTTAGCAAGAATGGGAATTCCCACCTTTCAATCTCCCATCAAAACTAGGATTAGTGGCAACTTTAAGACCAGGATGTGGCAAAAGGAAGCAACCAAGATTTGAGAAACAATTGTGTATGTGCTTCCTTACATTCTGAAGCTCTTCATGTTGATTTTGTTTTACCTGAGGGCAGAGGGAGACAGGTGAAGTTGTAAACAGCAGAAAGAAAATGTTTTAACAAAAAACACAGACAGACTCACATGCATGCACACTTAACTCAGATGCTACTCCAGAAGAGTCTATTTTTACAATTACGAAGACCCATTTCTGACCACTTTGTTAAGACTCCCACATTTTCTTTTCTTTCTTTTTTTTTTTTTGAGACGGAGTTTCACTCTTCTTGCCCAGGCTGGAGTGCAATGGCACAATCTCGGCTCACAGCAACCTCCACCTCCTGGGTTCAAGCGATTCTCCTGCCTCAGCCTCCTGACTAGCTGGGATTACAGGCATGCGACACCACACCCAGCTAATTTTGTATTTTTAGTAGAAACGGGGTTTCTCCATGTTGGCCAGACTGGTCTTCAAACTCCCGACCTCAGGTGATCCACCCACCTCAGCCTCCCAAAGTGCTGGGATTACAGGCGTAAGCCACTGCACCCAGCTGACCCCATATTTTCTTCAACCAAAAAAGATGTTTTTCCTAAGTAAGCTGCTTGGAATAGCACAAACTACAAATAATATAGTTAATCGTAGTATCTAAGAACCTAATAACAAGTTATGGCTGTGCCTTATGCACCAGTAAATAAATTAAGAATTTAAAGTACTTACAAGAGCAACAAAACAAAACCAAAAAAAAGCATAAATTTGCCTACAAATAAAGAGTTTAGCCCCTAAGCAAAGTAAAAGCTAAGATGAAAAATTACAGTCCAATACAGAGAACCTTAGAAATTTGTTAGGATTTCAGGTCTCTTTCAACATGATTATTTATGATTTATGCTAGTTATGATAATTTTGAGAAGGGAAACTGCATGTATTGGGGGGGAAATCTTAAACTTAGAAACATTTTAAATAATTACTCATTTATCCCAATATGACTCACATGGTCTCCTAAACACTCTTCTGAAAAAGAATTTTAACAAAGTATGTGCTATTTATAATAAAAACCTGGAAACTACCTAAATCTCCATCAACAACAGAATGGAAAAACTGTTGTCTATTCATTCAATGGATACTATATAGCAATGAGAATAAATGAACTAAACTATATGCAACAACATGGATTAACCTCAGAAACATAATATTAGGCAAAAGAGCTAGACTCAAACAAATATATTCTATATGTGATTCTGTCCATATAAAGTACAAAAACAACGGCTGTGAGGAGTCAGGATAGTGATAGAAGGTTTTGGGGGAGGGTTGGTGTATGGAGGTGGGTACTTCTAGGTCCTGGCTAAATGGCTATGTTCAGTTTGTACAAATTCATTAAGCTATATATACACTTATGATTTGAGCAATTTTTTGAATATATATATAACATATTTCAATGAGAAGTTTAAAAACCTTCTTGTCTTTGAGTTACGTAATTCTGTTATGTAATTATAATTATTTAGTATGTCTATTGTGCTTTGTGTTCATTTCTTCTGAACAAACCAGAGACAGAAAACGCTGATGACTCAAATTATTTCCAAAAGTGGTGTCTGGAAATGCCTTTCAAATAACCTGAGAACGTTGAATTGGTTTTAGCCTCATTTTAAAATTTAAAAAAAAAATTTTTAATTGAAAAAAATCTTTAAATTTTAAAAATTGTATCATACCCCAAGTCTTTAACGTGGTTGAAAACCCAAACGCATCATTCCCATAGACAAATAAAACCTTACTAACCAAAGAGAGCACCCGCCTACTTATGAATAAAGGGGTCTTTATGTATCCATTGTGTGTGTGAGTAAATGGGGTAGTCTTTAAGTATCTGACCTGCAGGTTACCCAAACTGATATGGTTTGGCTCTGTGTCCCCAAATCTCATCTCGAATTGTAATGCCCATGTGTCAGGGGAGGGGCCTGGTTGGAAGTGATTAAATAACGGGGGCAGACTTCCCCACTGCTGTTCTCGTGACAGTGATTTCTCACATGATCTGGGTGTTAAAAAGTATATGGCACTTCCCCCTTCATTCTCTCTCTCTCTCCTGCTGCTCTGTGAAGAAGGTGTTTGCTTTCCCCTTCACCTTCCACTATGATTTTAAGTTTCCTGAGGCTTCCCAGTCATGCTTCCTGTTAAGCCTGTGGAACTGTGAGTCAATTAAACCTCTTTTCTTCATAAATTACCTAGTCTCAAATAGTTCTTTAGGCAGTGTGATAAAAGACTAATAGGTAAGTACTTCCATGGGAGGGGGTGGGGTACCTTTAGGAATAAAGGATCATGATCCTTAATTTTGATTCAAGGGTACTGTCTTCTTTGGTAGGAATGCAACCACTTTACTTTTCATCAACTACAAACAGAGTCACTTGGGCTAACCTGGAATACTTGATTCCAACAACATATAGATACTGCTAATGTGAATAGCAGTCCAAACAGCCCACCTCTTCACCTGGCTTGGTGCTTATGCTCTCCTCTTTAGAAAATAGGGTCTTACCTGTAATCTTTTTTCAAGAAATTGCTTTCCACCTTCCAAACCATATGAATGTTCATAAGGATAGCTCCAATCTCGAATCAAAAACATTAATGTCTGTACACAGAAAAAATATAAATTGTTTATTTTATAATAAAGTTTACCAAAAAATCACAATTCTAGCAATTGAAGCCTACTTTACTCTCCTAAACAATCCTGATCAAAAGTTATAGTAACCAAATGGTCAGTACTGCTCATGGTTATATCAAGGACCCACTTAAACAACATTCTTATACCAAGCAATCGCCACCATTGGATACCTTCATTAAATATAAAGAAAGAGTCACCACAAGCAATAATACAGGATATTTAAAAATGAAAAACAGGTGTATCAGGACACACAGATCATAATTTTAAATCATCGTTGTGTAAATACAAGACCAACTAATTCTAGATGGCTATCTAGACTGATTATAGATCTGGTGTCAATAAGGACATTTTCACAGGATGTTTTTACTCAAAGAGGGTTAGGTTTCTCAACCTGAGCACTGCTGACATTTTGGGTCAGTTAATTCTTAGTTGTGTGTGGCTGTCCTGTGTATTGAAGAAAGTTGGACCTCATTTCTGGCCTCTATGTGCTAGATGCCAAGTAGCACTAAGCTCCCCCACAAAACTGTGACAACCAAAAATGTCTCCAGGCATTAGCAAATGTCCCCTGGGTGGCAAAATTACCCCAGTTCAGAAAAAACTGATAGGCGAAATAGGGTGTATTTCACCCATATATCCAAAAATGAAAGCATAATCTGCTCAACTACTTAATAAAGGTGACCATTCTAGGCAGACAAGAGTGAGACAGAATCAATGTAAACCCATTAAGACTAGCAATCAGTAGCAATGCTGTCATACAGGAAGGGCTTCACACACAATTAGGAGCAAACATGGTACAGTCATGCTCTCCTATTGTAACTGCAGCTCACCAAATAGTATTAATGGCAACTTATAAATTACACCTTCAGCCAGGCGCAATGGCTCATGCCTGTAATCCCAGCACTTGGGAGGCCGAGGCGGGTGGATCGAGGTCAGCAGTTCAAGACCAGCCTGGCCAAGATGGTGAAACCCATCTCTACTAAA